GCCTGAGACGATGTATTTCCATAGGCCGCCAAAGACTCGAACTCCTTTCACCTCGTTTCCTGCTCTGGGCCTGGTGCAGTTCGCAGGAGTCCGCCGTCTCGTGCGGCTACGGCACCCTCCCGCCTTGGGCCCCAGGCCGCTCTCCTGTCGTCCTTCGCTTCAGAAGAAGCTTTCAGCGAGACGAGTCCTCGTCTTCTGCTCCAAGCAGGGATTTTTCTTCCCGAGCGGAACGGTCTCAGCAAGGCAGCTGCCGTTTCGAGCCAGTCGCCGCAAGCAGATGTGTGGAGATAGATGGTCTGGACAGCTGGCGCACCGAACACCTGCCCTGGCTCACCTGCCAGTCGGTGCTGATGTGAGCGACGTAGGTGTTGCAACCGCGTTGAAGTTCGTGGCTTGAGCTCTCAGAGCTCAACCGCACACCCCAAGAGACAAAGCAACCCTACCACCTGGCAAAGAGGGTCTAAGCTTCATCTCAGATTGCCCACAGGACCTTTAGTACACTTAGGGTAGGGGTTTAAGCTGTGGGTCTGGAGTGAGTTCAGACCTAGAGCCAGTGCTACAAAGGGCGCTAGGCAGGCCTAGGCAAAACCAGTGGTGCTTCAAACCTCAACGATTCGAAGGTCGCGAAGGCCGTAGCTGCACCTTCATTGAAAGGAAAGTTCTCGCGACCGGAGCTGATTCTCTTCATTGCACTAAACCTTAAACCCTAAAGCCCAAACCCTAAGCCGGTACTGCAGAGGAAGGCCCTCAAAAAAAACCTAAGCCCAAACCCCTAAGCCCTAAACCCTAAAACGTGGAAGAGTTGCTTGAAGATCCTGAGCGTGAAGCTGATTGACGTCGAGCGTTCGAAGTGGAGTGAAAAGGGATTCAAAAAATGCTGTGCCCGCTCATAAAGGTGGGCTCCACAGCTGCCTTCTACTACGTAGATTCCTGAGTTAAGACTTTAGCAGACAGAAAAAAGGCCTTCAACAAAAAAAGACCTAAAACGTATCGAGGCTCGAAGCTCGAGGCGGCAGCAAAGATGTGCCTGAGGACAGCTTGAGGCAAATTTCTTGGGCCCAATGCTCGAAGCCACCACGCTTGGTGGCTCTTTTGGGTGGGTTCCAACCTTAAAGTGTTGGGCGGTGTAAGTAAGCAGCCTACAAACGGTACAGCACTCCGGCTTTGGAGGGCGCCACAGGCAAAGCAACAGACGCTCCTTGCTCTGCCAAGGATGCTTGGTCACTCTCCTTGTCCTCTCAGCCACGCTTGCCGCAAGATTTTGCAGATTTCCCACACTGGGTCCGGTCGCAGGGTTTGGTTGCGCTAAGCCCTAAACCCTAAGCCCAAGCTATTGAAGATCAGCGATCTTCCTGCTGCGATTCTCTGAAACCGGCGAGTGCCCAAACATCCGGATCTCAGAGTGTGGCATGCTTCCGATGAGGACCCCTTTACAGGACTTTTACGTAATCTTGGCTGACAGCTCTCTGCAAAGTGCCTTGGGCGTTTGGCAATGAATGTCATCGGATTGCGAATGCAAGAAGTACGAATAGCTCTTGGGACGAGGCCATTTTCCCAAGCTGCGAGGCCATAATGCAGTTGCTTGCAACCAAGGCGTAAGTACCTCAAGAACCCGGCGTCATTTTAAGAGGCTTGGGTGCATGTTAAGAAGCGTTTCCTCCACTCCGGGAGAGGACGAGCAGCTTCAGGCAGGCTCCTGATGCCCGACGTCGGCTGCGCACTCTAAACCTTTTGAACCCTAATCCCGAAACTTAAAAAGGCCGAAGCACTCCTGCATTTATCGGTCCAGGAATGTAAGGTTTCCCTTCCCGACTGGGCCGCTTGTCGGGTGCTTCCCGGAGTTGGGTGGAGGTTTGCTGCCTGGGCTCCCTCTCTCTGCTGCCTTTCTGATCAAAAGAGCCGCCCTTGGTTTTCTCTTCTGAGAGCTGGTGGGTCCGAGTTGATCCCCCGGGGATCTTAGGCGCAAGAGCTTCGCTTCGGGGCTTGCTCTTGCGAGTGGCCTGTGGAAGGGACCCATGCCCTGTGGTTACTTCCACCAGCGTGGTTGTGTGTTGGAGTCGGTTTCGGCAGCAAGAGCTTTCGCATGAATCTCAGCTCTGAGCTTCCCTTGATCTGCGCAGTCCCAATGTTTCAGGGATGTCTTCGGGCATGGACCGTGACTGTCAGTCCGGCCTCTCGCGCTTTGGAGCTCCTCCTCTTTGATACGGCACACCGTGTGGTCTCTATGCGTTTTGTAGGGATCATTCCTGCCCGGCCGAAGTCTGTTAAGGGTCGAAGCATCTCGGCACCTACAAGAGTGCATCTTGACCTCCCCGGCAGAGTGTGCAGCAGAGGGAAAAAGGAGACTGCCACGACTAAGTTAATGTCATCGTAGACGGGCAAAGCTGAACCTGAAGTAGCGGGCCGGACAGCCATCAGCGAGAGTTTGAACGAGTATTCTTGGGCTTTCACGGCTCTAAGTTTTGCATGTGTTGATCCATGTTGTGAAAGCCGATTTGTCAGGTTTAAAGCCTCATGAGGCTTTGTTCGCAGGCAGGCCATTCTCGGTAGCGTTTAGCAACAGTGTTCCACTTGATCAACTCATGGTTCAGTAGGCTACCAGTAGCATCTGCACATGTGTCGAAGAAGGTTTCAGAGCCATGGCACATGGGCAGCAGCCACCCGGTTGGCTAAGCTCAGAAGCGCAGCCCGAGCAAGCAGGAGCCATCCCTGCCCCATTCCAGTTCTTGCTAGAACATCTGAGTGAAAAGCAGCACTGGATCCGGCAACAAAAGGCCTCACAGGTCAGGCGGAGCAAAGAAGGGTCTTCGAAACCATGCAACATGAGCTTGCCATGATGAGCCGCTTGGAAAAGCAGTATACATGAGCTGCACGAGAAGACCGGGACTCTGCAAAGCGATCGCGCTGGGTTGTTTGAAGTCGCTCCTGGAACAGTGCAACGCCAGAGGCGGAGCTTTGCCGACAGCTATCTGAATGGTGGCAAAATGTTGCTGCTGAGCAGACTTGGCAGCTCAGCTGAGCAAACTGGGGAAGTTCTGTGGCCTGTTCCTGATGGAGGATCTTCCACTCATCCGGAGCTCCGGCAGCTCCTGTACCTGCGCCTGGCTATGGTTCCGGCGGCAGCTCCTGTGCCTTGGCCTGGTCATGGAGGGGCTGACGGTGTGGGCCTGCATGATCATCATGATTATCATGGAACTTCTCATGCTCCCCCAGGCAGACATGGAGCCGGTGCTTTCTGGTGGATCCCAAGTGTGAATCGCCGATGGATGCGAAGTGCTTTTGGGGCGCCGAGAAGGACCAAGAGGCTCTGCACCAGCTGGGCATCTGCCCGAAGCATCTGGCGGATCTGCAGAAAGTGTATGGGGGGGGGGGGGACCAAGGTGCTGCATGGACAAGGCGTACGAAACCCTAAAGAGGTCTCGGAAGGTTCCAAAGCAGCTCACCGGACTGGGGCCTAGCAAGAGCGAGTTCCAGACTGGGATGTGAAGCAACCCAAGAATGTTCCCAGCTTTGGCGATGGCATTGAAAGTCCTGCGCTCTCGCGTGGGGGGTGCCATGGAGCAATGGCTCTGGTGACGTGGCTCGGCTGCTCATCCTGCAAGCTGCAGACCCATGAGACCCAAACTCGCCTTCTGAGGCCAAGTTGCAAACAAGTCAGTCGAGGAAGCCGACGCTCGAATGAGGGAGTTGCACACAGCAAAGGGCCTGAGAGCGGTCTTCCAGGAGGCTGTCGAAAGAAGGAACGCTGCATGGGGAAATTCCCTGCGCTATTCTGCGAAGCTAAATCAGGCCGGACGTTTCTCAAAATTAGCATGCCCGATACCTCACCAAGATTCTAAGCCCCGTGTCTTTGAGAAACTTCCAGGTGATTCGAGTTTGCAAGTAGGCAAAACGCAGTGAAGCAGATTTGGAAAAGCTTCGAGGCGAGATCTCTCTTGAGCTGCATCGATGCGAGCAGGAGTTCGGCGTGACCGTTCCTGATGATTTCACTTTCACAGGCGGGTTTGGGAATTGTCCAACAATTGCTGCCGAACGAGTGTACGAGACACGCACACAACAGCGTGATATCTATCGGTTATGATAGACAGACACAGGTAATTAGCAAAATGCATTCGTGCATCTGTATGCTTCAAAGGAGTCATGGCCATTGATTTCCGGTGTGCTTGCAGGCATAATGTGGCTTCCATCGGATGCCACTGAGGCCTCGTGATCGTGTTCATAACATGACGGTGACATGCACGATCTTGCATGCTCAGGTGGAACGTCCGGATCCGCTTGGATAATTACCTCGCTGCAGCAGAAGGCATCTCGCCGAGTGAAGTCTGCAACGCATGAAGGATGCAAGATCCTTCTGTCCTCTACCTCTTGCTTCCGGGGCATTCATCCTTGCGCAGCTATCGTAGCGGCCAAACGGATGGCACACTGTCTGGTTTCTGGGAACTGCTCGCCGTCCAATTCTCGGCTGAAGGCCTCGAATCCTTGACGTTACAGGGTGCAGCCAACAGCATACACGTGCTTGAAGTGGTTGGAGGAGTCTCAGCCGGTTGGGTGCTGGGGTGTTTTGAGTAGCAGTCTTGTTGAAGAGGCCCTACAGGCTCGGGAGTATGTGCTCGGTTTGCCAGTGGATGCTGCAGGTGGCGGTGCTTCCGAGACGACGCAAGGAACTCAGATTCCCAAGCTGAGCCTTGTTGTTCTTTCAAAGGGGGCTTGTGACTTTGATTAGATGTTTGCTTCCACTCGCTAGTCAAGCATGCCACCCATGTTTTGTCGCTTGAGTAGAGCGTCCGGCATCATTCACTGCAATACGCGGTGAGCATTTCAGGAAGCCGCATGCAGTGGGTCCCGGTTATTTGCATACGGGGAACATAAAGATCATGTTGAGAAACTTCCGGAGTGGCTGCAGGATGCTCGGCTCAGGCAACTAGATTCAGGTCCTTCGTACATAGCGGCCGCTTCCGGGACGGAGATTAGCCTTGGCTTTGCCGTGCCATCTCCTGTCCATGGTTCGGCATGTTTACCTACATGGCTTTTTGATTCTCGGCCAAATGTCAGGCGTGAAAGACTGGTTTCCCCACGCTTAGTTTGGAATTTGGAGGAGATGGCAACGGGACGTCACTAGATCCCGCGCCTTGAATCCGAAACTCAAGAAGCGTTGAATGTGCGGCTTGTGAAGCCGTAGCACTGCAAACATCAGAATGGGGTCAGGGACGCAACAATAGCTCCATCAAAAACCAGCGCGTGATGGTGATTTCATCATGTTTCATTCACCAACAGCAGCAGCTTGCGCACCCATGAAAGGACACCCCATACCTCCCCATTCCCCTAGAGTCGTGAGCCCAGGGCTCTGGCCCTCCAGCTGCACTTCGCCAGTTCCCTGCGCCCAAATGGCCATGAGGACCCTGGGGAAAAGGCCAGCCTGAGAGCAGAGAACAGAGCCGCCCTTGGGGCGAAAAATTCAGGATGGTTTTCATTTCTGGTGGTCTGTAGAGCCCTTTGCTTTGCAGAACTTCGAAATCGTTATTTAAGGGTCTGCGGAGTCTAGTAGCCTAGCCCAGGAAGAGACGGACTTCAAGGAAACTCCGTCAACTACAGCCTCGACGCAGACTGAGGCACCGTCATGGTGTGTAGTCAATCCTTGCACGTACTGCTCCAGACAGTGCCACCCCCCCCCCCCCCCCCCCGAGTGTGACACAAGTCTTACCAATCTGGGATCCCCGTAACACCCTGAAACCCTTAAAAACCCTGGCACATGTTCTACCGAATCGTCAGGTTGCACAGACCACAACTTCGCAAGCTGAGGACCGCGATTGCCGTGACGGCGGGAAGTGGCAATGATTTTCCCGAAAGCTGAATATCCTTTGATTCAGGAGTTTATTGCAGCAAGATATTGTATCCTAAGTTAACCTGGTGTGGTTCTGGATTGAGCCAAATGACAACTCCTGCTGCAGCCCATTTCCTGTAGATGCTGGCCAACTGAGCAAGTAGGAGTTACACAGTAGTGACCGTAGTGACGTAGAATGTGGATTTGATGAATTTGGCACTGAAGGACACGACGAACCGGACGTGGCCATGGCAGAATGAAGATTATCTGCGTGTGGGCCTGGCGATGTTCACAACTGGGGTCGCCTATATAGTGACTCTCGGTGGTTTCATTCAAGGCAAACCGTATGCATGCCGGTGGATGCGTTTCTCGTAGCTGTTGTGGCGATCACGGCCGCGATCAATCCCAAGAGCATCCCTACAAAACCATGCCCAAAACATAGTTTTTTAACATTAGCCTTGTCATCGTTCAACCAAGTTTTGGTCGAATGCCCCTTGCCGGATGGGAGTTACACCGCTGTAAATCACGATGCTAGTCACACTCTCTTTCCAAAATGGCCGGACTCACTTTTTCAGCATGTCGCCCTCTCAACATTGTGCGATCAAGGGGCCTACGAACGCGCATGTTACGTTGTTGTTGGCGGTGGCAGATGGCTGTTTTCGTCTTGGGTGATCTAGCTCGGGTGATCTTACCCCGTCCGGCCCAGGACTTATCTCTTCATTGAGTTGTCCGCTTGGATTGCCACCAGAAAGCTCAAGGATCCGTTTTTTAGCATCGCAGATGCCCCTCTGCGGAGTCTACACGATAGGCGTGCCTCGAAGAGCGCAGCCCGCAGTACGTGCCTAGGCTGTTGGTCAACCGGCGACACGCAAGTCCCGACGTTTGAAGAAGCCTTGCGGGGATTGACCCCTAGCCAGCAAGCCTTCTTTGAAAACACCATGAAGAGAGCACATGCGCTGCAAGTCAGAGGCATCCAAGAGCAGCGCCGGAGTGTTGGATGGAAATGGGTTGAATGCATTTGTGTGGCCCTGACACCAATCTGCATCAGTATATCGGACAGCTTTGGCAAGCACTTCCAAGAACCGATCAAGCTGATAGCAATCCTATTTTCGTTATTCAGCACGCTTTGCCGGCTATCACCGCAAGGGCGCGGAGAGGCCCTCCTGTTTTACTCAGGACTGCTGCGAAAAGTCTGTTGGTCATATTGGTCTGTTTCAGGGGAATTCGACGACTTCCGCTACGACAGTGACTTTGATGAACACAGCAAAGAGGTTGCCCAGGAATTCTGGCAAAAATTTTCGGCGAAGAAGCGCGAATGCAAAGAGAAACTCTTGACGAAGACTATGCGGGCAGGGCAATCTCAAGCGCAGGCACGAACAGAGGATCCAGCGGAGCAATCTCAAATACATGCAGGGACAGAGGATCGAGCAGATCAAGAGGGAGAGGATCCGGCAAGTTCTATGTTTGAGACAGCTTTTGTGGAGTGCTTGCCTGAGTACCTCACAGAGACGGAGAGTACGCGTGCAGCCCTTTTTGAGAAGTTTGTGGAGGAGGTGGGGCGCACTCCAGATTGCAGTGCCTCCTTGGAGCTCCATTTAATCCTTGCCTACCCGATAGGTCATTTACATGGATAGTTCTCCAAATTAGGCTCCCCTATTTAGATTCCAAGTATAGTGCGGCACCCTTGTAAAAAAAAAGGATCCTAAAAGGGACCCTGTTTTTGGAGAACTTCCCACATAATTACCCGGTAAGACAACCCTAAACCCTAAACCCTAAACCCTAAACCTTACACCCTAAACCCTAAACCCTAAACCCGAAGCCCTAAACCCAGAAGGTGGTGCAATGCATCGAACAGGGGGAAGATGAGCTGCAGCGAAGCTACGGATCTCCAGGGTCAGCTCCCAGAGCCAGGGGTCTCAGCTTGGGGGGGGGGGTCTCAGGGTTTAGGCTTTGGGAGGTTTGGGCGGTTTGAGGGTTTAGGGTTTAGGGGTTTCAGGTTTGGGCGGTTTTAAGGGGTCTAGACTAAACGTTTTTGCTTTGAGTTGGATGCAAATTCTAAGGTTATTCGCAGCAGAGATGGCGATGACGACGACAAGCAAGAAGGCAGGAGGAACAGGCCAGCTGTCAAGAACTTGCTTGGTTTTTGTAGGTAATGAAAGAATGGGAAAGAAAATCAACAACCACTTTTTTGTTGGGGTATCAGTATGGGGTTGCGTATTGAGCCCCGCCTCTCCGCCGAAAGCTCGCTTGTTTTTCAGCCCCAAACTCAGGAAAAATCAGAAATTGGCCGAGAAGGCCGAGAAGCACGGAAGCACGAAGGATTGCAGTATATTGGGGTGTATATTGAGCCCCCCCCCCTGTTTCTCCAGCCCCAAGCTGAGGAACAGGGAGAAACGGGAGGCGCACAAGAACAGCCAGGACATTATTTTGCGAAAAGGTATGCAGTTGCATGTTGACTGAGGCGGTTGGGCATGCCGCTTCTGGTTTGACACCTTCAGAACACGCTTGCTCGCCCACATGGCTTACGCCCCAGTGGCCTCGATTCGAGCTCCATGCGCTACACGATCGAAATTCCGTCAACGGGGGGTAGGGCTTAGTGGGATATAGCGGGTTCAGAATTTTAAGCTCATGTGCTCCTTGAGAACGATTTTCAGGATCCACTCAAGCCTTCCCGTCAATAAGCGTTCCCATTGCCATCTTTCCCATTCCTCCATTCCCTACCAACCCGACTACGAGTCGTTTCCTCGAATGCACTGTTAGTCTGCTTTTGGGCTGCGATCTATACTCTGTCTAGGGGGCGATATGGGGGATTGTATTGGAAACTGTGTAGGATCCTATATCAGAAGCCGACAAAGGGGGTCATTGCTTGTCATCTTCGCCCCGGCTGAACCCTAAGCCCTAAACCCGACTAGCAGAAGCTCCTCGTCTGCAGGACAAAGGAAACACCGCACATTAAGAGTCGAATCAAGGCGCAGCGTGAGGAACGGAATTTGCAGGAGATGGGGTTGGGTGCGGTCTTGAATGGGGAGCTTCGGGGATGTTATTTCACGGGCTTTCCATCGGTATGTTCTGGTGATGGGTGGGGTTCAGGAAGGGTCTCACGACAGCTTTGCATGCCTGGTTTGCATCCAGAAAACAACGCTCACGACTTCGAGGGACGAGTGGAAGGCTGTTCAGAGACGAAAATGAAGTGCTTTCAGCGCATAGCACTTAACCGCCCTCTGGGTTCCTAACACACTTTCCACCACAAGGAAGTAGCTCTGGACCCCAGAAACGAACATGGCACTGTGGTGCACAAATTGTAGCATGGATGACCTGATAATGGGTTTTGCCAGCTTACTGGGCCCTGGAGCAACAAACATACTCCCTTCTACTCCTTTTGCCCATGGATCATACAGCCTCACATCATTACGGTAAAACGCCCATCATGGAATTGTCGCAGCATGAGTGTTGGCCCTTCTTGCACCAGGCTTGGTGTGCTGACTCGGCCTTCTGTAAGAGAGAGTGTCGTGGAGTGCGAGCCTTCGTCACAAGAAAAGGAGTTGTGCTGCATGCTTGTAGTGCCCGAACAAACCTGTCGAATCATTTCAGCTAGGAAACATCGCAGGTGTAGGCCAAACCGTCCCCGAGTTCCCAAGAAGTCACCAAAGTGCCTTTGGGTGGGTAACGGGGGCTTGTGTTGGGCCTTGCCAGGGATCCAAAGGTCGGGACCCACATCTCCTTATGTAGAAGAGTATCTTGCACAGCTTTGCCATCTCAGAATTTCTTTCTGGCAAGGCGTGAAGAGCATAGCTCACAAATTCCGCATTGGCTTCCCATGGTTGCTTACACGTCTTGAACCTGCAGCACTCAATGCCATGCCATACACCCCACGATGAGATGCAGCGGCATGTAGCGTACTCACATCTGCCTTTCTTGTCAGCAGGGCAACTGATGGCAAGCGTGATCTGTAGATTCATAACGCCCAAGTTCGCGGATTCCGTCCAAAAGGCCACCAGGGTCCCAAGGTCAAGTTCCAGCCCGGCACACCCACAAAACTCTCTAAGTGCGCAAAGGCAGCTTCTGAGCGACTTGTGCCTGCACTCCGGCTTCAGGCGGCTAGGGATGGGTGGAGTGTTGTTGGTTTTTGGGGATGTTTGAGGTTTCGGCATGGAATCCACTTCACACTGGGTCACAAATCAGGGCTCAACGATCGTACAATCGGTTGCAAAGCAGGAGACGAGTCAAGATCTAAGTCCGTCAGTTCAACTAAGCGGGCCAGAACAAAAAGGTTTTGAGCAATCAAACTGCGATGTGAGACATAAGTTTGACAAGCGGCCTGGTAGATATGGAAGCACCGGCAAGGACATGGCGGGAGTAAGTCACACCTCCATCGACGCGACCGGAGGCAAGAGTACTCAACCCACAGATTATCGATCGACAGAGTTTGCAAGCCTGTTCAAAGCCTAATGCCACGTGACATGAGGTGTGGCTGGGTGCTTGCATTCTGCTCTTGGCTATGGACCCACTCTATACTCGCAGCCCGCAATTGTCAGGCTCACAAAGCCCACAATCGGGTGCTCAGTCGGTGAACGTGAAGTTCCCCGCAGTCTTGACACAGATGCAGGCCTTTGTGAGGGGAGGCTGCTGCGAAATTCGGCCTTTTTTGAGCCACAGAGCGAAGCGCTACAGTCTCGACCAGCTATTTTGTCACTTCGAAACGCGGGCCCCCGCGTGCATCGACTCCTCGCGCAGTGTTTCTTTGGAGGAAGTATAAAGTCAGGCTTCCGTGTGGTGGCCGTGAAAGAAAAGGCCGAGGACACTTTAATCCAGTGTTTTTCCAGCACCACTTACTGTACATGTGTTGTTGCATATTTCTTACACGCAGAGCTGCAGGATTTTTGTTCGAACGTGGCTTTTCCCTGCAGCTCCGCATGAAGCATCCCAAGGTCGTCGAGGGCCTGTAGTTCTACAGGCAGTGTGACTGTAGCGAGCTGAAGGCCAAGAGGACATCGAACAAAAAGGATGGATCGGGCTTTCCAACCCTGTACCGTTTCCTAGAGTGTGAAAGGCCCCGTCAGCCGGCAGGAGTCGGGAATGAAACCTTCGATGGCGGCCGAGTGGGTCGAGTCTCGCAGAGCACAAACCCTGGCCTTTGAAACATGCCGACCTGAATGAGTCTTGCAGAACGGCCACAAGTTGTGTTTGGAGTTGAAATGGGGGGGGGTCATGGTAAACCGAAGCTCACATCGTCCTGCTGTGAAGTTGGATGCGAGGGACTCATTTTGCATTTTGCATATTTGACGCGGTTCAAGACTTATTGGATCCCGACGCGTAGATTTATGCCCGTCGGGACAGTTTCAGCATGTGCTCGAAGTATGTGCTGGGACTTCTGTTGCTGAGGCCGGGCAACCCTAAACCCCCAAACCCCCTAAACCGCTAAACCGCTAAACCCCCAAGCCCTAAGCCCCAAACCAACCCTATGAGTCTCTTGTGTGGACTGCTCCCCTACCTGTCGCCATCCCTGCAAGGCGGTGCATAGCGCATACGGTGGTCAACAGAGCCTCTGCTGCTTAAGGAAGATTTCGTTTCGAGTTAAAGCAGCCATTCCCCCAAGCCCCGAAGCCGAAAGCTTCCTCCAGCACCGGTTTAGGCAGCCTCATCGAGACGCTGACACTATGGACCTTCGAAGGGTCCCCCTACATCGTGGAGCAAAGCGTCTCTGGGCTTCAAATTCTTGAATTTCATACGTGCAACCCCAAACCGTGACACTCAACCAAAGACCTACGGCTTAAGCCCATACGGTATCTCTAAGATCTACTGTGCAGACCACTGTGCCATTCCGAGATAGGAGGGATCTTCATTTAGCTTGATCCCAACTGCAAGCCAGGTTACCTTCAGAGCCACGTTGAAGCTGCGTCCTTGCTCAGGAACTTTTTTTTCAAGTTTTCATGGTTTGCAAGTTCGGTTTAAGCTGATGGTGATCGTGGATCTTTTCAGGAGGGGGAAGGATCTTTCCTTGCATTAAGGATCGTGCAGCCTGGCGTCGTGGTGCGCTTTTTTTCAGGTGCTGGCTTGACGTTCGACACAGGGAGCCTGGGCCCCTGTCCAACATAAAAATCTGAAGCTTAATGCCAGAAAGATCCCACATCCCGCCTCGGCTTTAGGCAGTAGCCCGGATCTTAAGGCTGCTTTTCAAGCAAACCCACCAACGACCCAGGAGCAGCTTCTAAACCCTAAAACCCTAAACCCTAAAACCCTAAATCCTAAAACCCTAAATCCTAAAACCCTAAACCCTAAACCCTAAAACCCTAAAACTCTAAACCCTAAACCCACCAGCGATCCAGGAGCAGCTTCCAGTGTCAAGGCGATGCTGCTTTCCCCGTGGCCCTGACCCGCTATGACAATCAGGTCACCTACTGGCAGGGCATCGAGTTCACCGCCCCTCGCCGATTTTGGGAGAGTCTTGAGCTTCTTGGGGCCTAGGCCTGAGAAGACAGAGAAGTTCAAAACAGAGGCTCCCCTAGATAGAGTAGTCCCGTCAGTTCACGATTAAACCGAAGCTGCTGAGCTTTGTCTCCTTTGTTGTTGGAGTAGACAGGCTCAGATCTCAGACACGGAACCATCGTTCCTGCGGCATTGCCTGGTGGAGGGGGCGACGGTGGGCGTGCGGATTGCCAATCGTGCTCCGCAGTTCCTGCCGGGAACTACAATCACGGATGCCTCCTCGCAGGCAGTCTACGCCTTCGGCCCCATGGTGACCGCAATGGTCTTTGACGGAGTGATTGTCAACAACAGCTGCTTGGCGAAGCTTCAGTTTCTGATTCTGTCTTCCTCCCGAAACCTCAATCGGAAACGACTCATAACGACCCCCTAAAACCCGCAGACCAGAGCCACCCTAAACCTTAAACCCTAAACCCCTACACGCTAAACCCTAAACCCTAAACCTGAACCTCTAAACCCTAAGCCCTAAACCCCTAAACCCTAAACCCTAGAGGACTCAGCCTGTTGCTCTCCGCAGGACAGTGGAAAAAGGCCCTCAACAAAAAGAAAACTAAAAACCCAGAGGCAACGGCGTGGAAGTGAGAGACGCCTCAACGGCCAGCATCAACGTCTCGAACTCCGTCTTCGACTCCGGCTGCCGAGGCCCGGCACGGGCCCCCCTGGTGCTCAGGGTTTTTTTGGGGTTTTGAGGGGTTTTGGGAGTTTTGGGTTTTTGAGGTTTCTGTTTTGCGGTTGTTGCAAACCAGGGTTCTGGTCCATAGGTGCAGCACGCCTCCACGTGCTCTCCGTGAAGGGCGAGGTGACCGTGACCGGGTCGTGGTTCGAGACGAGGTTCTATGCAGGCTGCCAGACGTTTCGGCAGAACAGCGACGCCTTCTACCTCACCGATGCCTCCGGGACCTCGGGCAGCAACGTGACTGTCGCCGACACCACCTTTATCGGCATGGAGAGGGGCATCTCATTACTCGAACGGTACG